CATATTCAGGTCTGTCATCCACTCAAACATCTAGGCACAGACCTACCACAAAAAGACAACCTTGTCCAGCTGTGCCTAATTTTCTTCAGTGCTACAGGCTCAGATCTGGCTTCCAGAGGTGGCTCTTCTCATACTTGCCAAGTAGCCTTGACCCTTGAGGGGCTGTGCCATGATGACATGTTCACATGACCCTGATATTAAATGTCTTTTGGAGCACTAGTTATTTAAACCTAACACTTGAGCCCCAGTTCAGCAGATGACGAATGCGCATGATTAATTTTTAAACATGATGATTCAGTAGGGCCTCAGCAAAAGTCACACTGGGGTGTTTCTTTTACTTTTAATCCCTACTTTAGTAAGCCAAAATATAAGAAAAAAAAAAAAAAAAAAAAAAAAGAGAGAGAAAAACAAAGGAAACATCCATGTTAACCTCAGAGGAGTCCAAATTCTAGGTTTTGCTGTTTTGGGCTGCAATGTTGCAAGTTATGGTGACTAGGACTACTGGGTATTATATGGCTGTCACAGGTAGATGATGTTGTGGTAAGAGAGATCCAGCATCACATTCCAGAACCAGCCGTGTTGTGTTAGCAAGGACGGTAGGCCAAATTCATCTGTTGTGCAATTCGTGGACCTTTTGTCTCCAGATTTTCCATTTATTTTTTATATCTGCCAAGAGAGTAGTTTAGAGAACATTACACTGTCATAACATTGTATTCCACTGGCAATATTCCTTAATTGCAGTAATAATACATAATCAGCCATATATGTATGCATTAATATATTAGCTACATAGCTTCAGCACTAGCTTCTCTTCCACCCAACAACAGTCATGCTTGGCTGCCTCATTACCTGAGCTTCAGGATATTAATTTCTTTCTGTCACATGCTTGGAGTATATGTTATTTTTATATTAGGAGCCCATGATGTTTCTGTCAGAAAGCTGCCGGATTTTATTGTGGAGTCTATAATTTTTGTACAATGAGATTTTCAGAGGACTGAACAGTACAGCATTGCAGTGCGTTGATGGACTGGCAAAGGGTGAACTCCTGGCATGCTCAGCAACCCAGAGGAGTTTAGGGACACCTAAAACTACCACTGTCTCTGCCTCTAACTGCGTGTGCTCAGGGTGTCAGAGATGCAGCCCTTGCTTTTGGGGTGGACAGAGTCTGCTGAAGATTTTGCTGTGACATTTTTTTCCTGAAGGCACTTGTTGGACCGATGGGAGCAGGCATTGCTCCCCAAGCAGAAGGGAGCAGCTATTGAGTGGGAAGGAATGACGCAAAGGACGGTCAGAAAATGGGGGGGTAAGGGATGGTGTTGATAAAACCATTAGTCTGCAGTAATGGTTAGGCAATGATCAAAAGCCAAGGGAGGGAGCTTCTCAGCTGTCTTGGGGCAGGGCAGCTTCAGCTGGTCCTAGATACTGACCCGAGTGTGCGGGATTTAAAGCAGTGCTCCACGTCCCACCGTTCATTTCTTGTCCCCCACCGAGATTCAGACAGGTTTTTGACCACAGGCCTACAGGAGCTAAACCACATGCCACAGTCCCACCTATTAGAGTTACAGACTTGCCCCTGAAGGAAGGCCAGTGGGACCTATGGAGGGTAAAAAATGGTACAAAGAAAAGCATGCTGTGATGCGCACTTGTGCTAGAAGGGCATAACACCATGGGAGGTAACAATGATGCTAGAGGAAAATAAATCAGACAACAGAGGACCAACAAACTTTGCCTGTCTCTGTGAAAGCCTTGAATGGCATCTGCTGAATGACAGTGCGGCTCAGTTTGCCAAGTCTTATTTTTAATTGAAACAAATAGTTACAAACAACATGCAGAATAAATGGATGGCTTTTTCCTGTGTTTTGCAAAGGTGAAATGTCGGACTGTAGAAGGGGGTGACATTGGTGAAGGGCCTAACTTTAAAATGATAAAGAAAAATGAACAGGGGAGGAAAAGAGAAGGAATTGGAAGAAATGGAGCAAGAAGAACATTATTTTGTGTAAATTAAATTTAAATAAAAAAGGATGACACTGGATGTGATCTTGTCACACTGAAGTATTTTAGGGCCAACAGTAATAAGAGAATTATATATAACATGAGTAACCCATGAATGCCAGGTCCACCTTTTTTCTTTTCTAATAATGAAGCTGCCGATGCACATTTGTCAAGAAGACAAATAAACACCCTTTATACTGACCAAAAATAGCAGCCTTAGTCTCTTAACATCTTCAGAGTTCACCTGCATCAAGGTGAGGAACAGTGAAATCTACTGAAAAAAAAAGCAAGAAAATGCCTCAGAAATGCTCAGTTGCCATTTGACCTGCCTTTTGAGCCTCTTTAAATAGCTGAGCACAGTAGAAGGTCATTTTCTGTGCCTTGCCATTTTCAGACTGCTGTGGAAGTTGATTTCTTCCACTCCAGTCTAATCTGCTCAACAAGAGTTGCAGAGAAACTCCACCTGAACAGCGACAGCCATAAAGGAAAACAGTGAGCCCCCTCTGCCCAGAGGGTTGTCACAGGAGCTGGCAGATGCCTGGTGGGGGGGTTCCCTCTAAGGACCAGCAGACTTGGTCGCTTCAGAAAGGGAAGGAGGAACACGGGAATATTCAATCATGTGCATGAAATCTGGAAGCATTAGAAGAACGATTCCTGATATTCCCAGAGAAATGTCACACAGCCTTGATATTATTAGGCATGGCTCAAATTTCCTCTGATGTTGTCACATGCCAGAACTTACCAAGGCAAAGATGTTTACCTATGCCAGGCGACTGCATGGAGGCATACGGGTTGGGTGGGCCATGGGTGCAGACAGTCGCAGGGCAGATGAGGACAGGTAGCAGCCACAGAGGCAATTGGTTTGTAGAATGGAAGACAGGCAAAATCCTGCCTCTGGTCTCACTCAGGCTGACTCAGCAGGCTCCAGGGAAGAAACAGCAATAAATTATTAGCTTTCTGGAATAAGAGTTAAAGGCTGACTTGTGACGCTAAGAAAAGCTGTACAACTCACTGCCACAGGATGTTGAACTCAACGGTATATATTTGTTCAAAAATATTTAGACTCATTCATTCACATTCAGTTATTATTAAACATGACAGTCTGGATGTAAGTGCCTTACCAGAAAGTGCCTGAACATTGTCAGGTGTTCATTGCCAGGTGTGAGTCATTTCATATTGGCCCTTTCCCTTAGACACTTTCCCTGTGAATTGACTCTTGGACAACAGCAGAGCCAGGATGCTGGGCTAGATGAAGCTCTGCTCTGTCCTCCTACGGCCTTTCTCCTGTTCTTATGAGGGCAAATCCACACTGCACACAACAGGCATAAAATGGCTGAGTGGCAGCATATATTCATTGCATTAAGTGCCACACTAATGCATATACCCAGCTGCTGAGAGGTAGCTGCCCTTCAGCATTCCTGGAGTCTGAGCAGAGAAAATCTGTCAGCCCTGAAGACCACAAAGGCACATCCTTAGGCAAACATCCTTATCGCAGGGGCAAAGTTATTAGTTGTTCCCCTGTCTGCCCTTGAGGGAGCATAGTTATAGCCCATCACGTCCTGTGTGAGCCCCCAGTCCCCCAAAGCCTTCCCTGCCTGCTCATCTCTGTGCAGCGCAAACAGCCCTACTGAACTCCAGTCAGGCAACTCACAGTGCGTAACATTAACCGAGCAAGATTTTGTAAGTCCGGGGCTTAAAGCTGCAGTCTAGCACAAAAAAAGTACTTACTTCTACTGTACAATTTCTAATGTCATATTTTCCTACAGGAGTAGTACTGACTTTTGACTAGTATGTGCAATGATAAGGGCAGTTATACTCAAAATTGATTTTCCCATTCCAGAGAGGTGGTTGTACATATAAGCAAACACTTTTTCAATACCACCCGGAAGGAAGAAAAGGATATTTATATGACAAACTGTTTCTAGACTATTTGGTAGGTATTTGACTGAAAATTAAATAGAAGCAGTAATCTTCACTATGGGTTAAACCTTAAGAGAGTTCCTTTCAATCTTTTTCCTGTTTGAGGAACCCTCTGTATTTTCCAGTGGATGCCTGCATGGATGGATTAAATCTAAACCCACTGGCAATCAGCTTGTTGGGTTTAGTTACCTTCCATGAGCCCCCAGATGTAGTCCTTGGACCACTGACCCATGACCACAGGTTTTAGAATCACTACTGTAATTCTTCAAAATTTGGGAGCACCTTGATTTGCTGAGAGGGTGGAGGTATAATGCTGCATTATGAATGTCCTCATCCATTCACCCCTCTCACATCTGTATCCTGTGCAAGCCTTTCCTTCCCCACTGCATGAACGGGAATTGATAAAGTAGAAGTCCTCCTTTGCCAGGCAAAGGTGGAAGGTGGCATGCAGAGAGTGGCCTCGTTTAGGAATAGTGTCCAAATCTGGATCAGATTGTTACCCTCCTCCCCAGGGAAATACAAAATGAACAAAATCCTGAGTTAAAAACATATTTGCTAAGAAGACTGGGGAAAGGAGGGCACGGTAACAAAACCCCACACCACTCGCATGAGAAGAGGCCATTGCAAAGTCGGGTCTGTTGCCTCTGCCCAGCCTCTGTCCAGCCTCTGAGGGGCTCGAAAGATCAATCTCTTGACACATGGGGTTTGTGGCACTTTGTCCTTCCTCCCCTCTCTGTCTCTCTGCTACCTGAACCTCAGTGTCTACCTGCGGGAGCAAGGATGGAGCAGTGGCCAAGCCCCTGTCCAGGCACACATGCCCTGCAACAGGAATGCTGAGCACCAGAGCCCGCATGCGGCAGTACTTCCCCTGGAGAATTTTTCCTCAGCCTCCAGCAAGTTACAGCTCAAATACTTTTGTAGGAAAAAAATGGGTGGGTTTGTTTTTAACAACCCTCAATCGTAATTTGTGGAATTGAGTCCACGTCAATGTCTAATATCATCACTGCCCTGGGGCACAGAGAAACTCTGTGACTGAGCAGTTTGCCAGGCAGTGGATAAAGCAGGAGGACTCTCTTCTGTCTGTTTCGAACCTGCCACCAACTAGTTGCACCTGATGATCCCATTACCTGCAGGGCTTTCTTGGACTGTTTTTTGCTATGCGCTTGCTTTCAGGCAAGGATTTGGAGAGGGACACGTGTTCTTGTGGCCTCAGTGACTGCTGGAGGCACCCACTTTCGCTGATCAAAGGTGAAAGTTTGGAAGGAGGAGAAGCAGATGTTGGATTCAGACACTCAAAGGTAAGCAGAAAGAGGAGCATTAAAGGGGAGCAAAACAGAGCCAGAGGGAGATCCTATTGCCATCTGCCAATACATCCAGTAGTTAAGCACCAGGGAGGCAGAAAAACTGTGTAAGGCAATGGACAAAGGTGGTAAAAACAAGCAGGTACACCCTGCCTATGAATCTCCAGCCATGAGATGAGTGAAGCTGGGGAACAGCCTTTGCAAGGAAGAGCAGAGACAAAATTTACTACAGTTAAGGCGGAGATTGGTTGGTTTATGCAATGCATATCGTGGTAGAGAGTAGTCACAGAAGACACTTGTTTGGTACCTGCGCACAAGACCTTTTACAAACTCCTATGTTGTTACAAAACAGATGAATCCATAAACCTGACTACAACAAAAGGATTACAGTTGAGCAGAGCGGAAGCTTACATCAAAAACATGTAGTCAGGAAAACATCTGCTGCTGCAAGACAAGGGCTTTGACAGTATGTCATATTTGAGATATAAGGGGGAGTTTCAAGGTGTCTGAGGGGAACCCAGAACCTGGCAGCATTTCCAAAACAAGGTACAGTCTTACCAGCATAAGTGTTTGTTCCACCACTGAATCTCTGATGCTGAAAAATCTTGTGGCAAAACAGCATAAATGTAATAAGGGTCAGTGGCATAGGTGTTGCTTTTGTTTATTAGAACTTGAGTTGAATAATTTTTTGTCTGTTATGATTATTTATGTGCGTGGGTATAAACATGCAGTTGCTTGAGCTTTCTGGTTAGGCTGTTATTGCTCAAGCCCAGCCGCAGGTTTAGCAAACTAAACGCAGAAGGTTAACAGAACAGCAAGTAGACAGGTAAAGGAGGGGTCGATGTGTATCTACAGTTACATTACAAGTAAGAAAAGCACAACATGAGATGTCGAGACTTGTCCGAGCTGCAGACAGAGTGAGATTGCAGGCAGGGAGCCGGGACTTGAGGACAGTCCTGTCACCTGGGCAGGAGGGTGAGCATTCCTGGGGGTAACCGTCACCAAATTTACATGGAGTTGGTTGCACAGGTCTGGTCTGCTAAGAAGACAACAACAAACTTCTGAGTTGACAGGGCTGACAAGTGGGCTACTGTCTAGAACTTCTGGAAACTAAAAGGCTCACACTTGAACTCATAATTAAGGGTAACAGGGACTGATCCCCAAATTGTCTGACCTACTCAATAATTCTTACTCACATCCAGCGCTGTATTTAGGGGTGGTCCCTGTCATTGTCTAAATGCTGTCATCTCTCTCAGGAGCCCAGATCCACTGGCTGCAGTGGAGTGAATTGGAGACTGCTGTTTGGCCACGTTGCTTTCTAATTCTGCAAGTATATTCTTGTAGCTTCCTCACACCAAGAGTGACAGGAAGGCACCACAACAGGAAATAGCTTCAAGTTGTCCTGTGCAAAGCCATCGTTTTCCTTTTTTATTGCAGTTTAGCATTTTTGTTATGTAGTATATATACTGTAGTTGCATGTTTTTAATCATTCACCCTGTCTCCTCCATGCTTCCAGGCAGCCTTTTTTCCCTTTTCAGTCTAGCAGCTCTCTTGGGCTACGTACTCATTCAGAACGTATTAGGAATAGGTTCTCAAACCATTTGACAGAGAGTTGTTATCTCTCAGGAAACACTTCAGAAAGAATTTTTAGAAGCTTATTTCACAAGATGAAAACCCAAGGAGTGAGCTACTTATCCGTGACTTCTTCAGGTATTTTAGTAATTTCATATTATAATACAATTTGAATGAGGCAATGGGAGATTAGTAAAGGCCAACAGCTGTACTCAAAGAGTTAAAAAATTACCCAAGTAACAAACTGTGTTATAGGTATATCCAAGTCTGATCACAATATAGGGCAAGGGCAGCTATTAAAAGAGAGATTAGACTTTGTGGTTAAAACACTGGGAAGGAGCTAAATCTTCATCTTTCTGGCCATGTCTACACCATCTCTTGGTGGTGGCCACTGGTGAGGGAGGGAATGGGGGGCCGGGGCAGCTGTGTTTGCAGCTGCACTGAAGACACACGTGTGTCAGCCTCCACCCTCAACAGGCAGGAGCAGTCCTTCCCGCACCCCTCCTGCCCTGCCCTATTTGGGGACAAGTACCTGGGATGTACCTTGCCAGGGGTGGACCCCTGAGGTAGCTTTTACTGGGAAATGCAGTGCTAAACAGCAGCAGGTAGATACCTCCGTGGTGCCTCGGGAAAGGCTCTAGCTGTGCAAGCCCTCAGGGGTGGCCCTCCGCTGAAGGACCTGATTGCGCCGGGGGTTCCGTGTCTCCCGGTCTCGAGGTGATCCCCACTATGAATGCTACCTGGACAGCCAAGGCGTCTCTCAGGAGCAGGGGATGTCCTTCTGCCGGGCAGGCGAGTTGCCACACCGTGGCCGAGCACTCACAGCCCTGGCTGGGTGGGTTTTGGGCCCTGAGTCGTAATCCCCGGTGCCTCCCAGTGCCCCACCACCCCTGCGAGGGCCACCCAGGGCTCAGCCCCACTGCCATCTCTCATGGCCCCTCTGCCTCAAGCTAGCCACGACAGTGGGCACCACCTGGATTTTGGGATTATGGAGCTGTGCATCTCACTGGGCTCCTTAGGATAGGTGATAAAAATGTGCAGAAAAACATCCCGCTTGCTACAGCATGCCCTGGGTCAGTTGCAATTATTGCTGCTCGCTCAGGCCCTCTCTCCTGTATGGGCCCATCCAATGACTAAGGCTGCTGGGTTTTTTTCATCTTCTCTTCACTTGCAGTTTGGGTTCTGCTTCCATTAAAGAGTGGGTAGGGATGCATGAAAAATTAAAATGTGTTATTACTTATTCCCCTTTTGAACCGTTTCCTTCCCTGAGGGTTATCTGCTTCTTAACGCTACCTGGTGACAGGGGCGCATTGTGCGTTGCCTTCATTAATCTCCATCCCACACAAACCTCGCTGCTCGGGGAGGTTATTAAATTTAAAATACCAGACTTTTGTCTGAAAACGTTTCCTTACCCATTATCACACCAAGGATTATGAGAGTTGAAAGAAAGGGGGAGATCGGTGAGGGGTGGGAGAGGGAGGGACATGAATTTTTACACAGAAAAGGGGAAGAGAATTTTTTTTTTAATTGGAAAATGTGGTGATAAAATCACAAAATTAATGAAGTGAGAGAGCTCAAGGTCAGTGCAGCATCTGAAGATACTTTAAGCACATTTTCTAGCTTGGTTTCATACTAAAACAAGCTAGTCTGTGCACATCTGTTTGCTTTGCCATTCCCCTCTCTATGACTTTCAAGCAGCCAAATCTGAGAGAGGAGTGGGGGCTTCCTAAATAAATTAATTTCTTCCCTTTTCATAAAATAGCCACTGGCAGAGATATGGGACTAGGCTCAAGCAGTTGTGTTGTTTCCCAATCCACTTCTGATGCTCATAGCTCTAACTTTTAAACTGTGCACAGCACCCCCTGTGTTACCACCAAACCCACTGTGGGAGGAGGGCTGCGGGGGAGAACAGGGCTTGTTCTCTAGCTAATTGGGTTAGTTATAACTAAAGGAAGAATTAATAGCTGAAGGGGAACTATTGTCTTGTAGTTCAGTTTTAAAAGTCATTCAAGCAACAGAAACAAATCCTCTGAAAGTCAGTTTCATTACTTCTGCAGCTCGTAGAGCTCTTCTGCTTTTTTAACATTATAACACACCAAGGTAACGACAGCCTCGTAAACAGCAAGAATTGAGCTCCAAAACCAGGAGCTCCTGCCCTGCGATGGCTCCGGGAAAATGAAATCTCCTCGACTGCGTTTTTGCTTGCGGACAGATGGGCGGGGGGGGGCAGGCGCCCCGGGGGGGGGGGGGCACGCTGGGCTTGGTGCGCCCTGCCCTGCTCCGCTCCTGGGGAGGCTGGGAGCCGAGAGGGGTGCTTTCGGGTCCCCAGGCTACGGCAAGTGCGAAGCCAGAGGCACACGCTTCCCAGGGGGACACGATCGGTCCTCCGAACAGTGTCTTTGCAGGGCAGAGGCCGCCGCTCGTGACAAAAGTATGTGCGTGACAGAATATGAATAATTGATTCTGGTGACAGCGATTAGCAGACGTGACATCATTGTTGGGTGCATTAGGATGTTGAGCATTCTTTGGGGGATATTAGGAGTTAGATGACCCAGGGAACACAACGATATTAATGCATAATTTATTTTATGGCGGAAATAAGGAACTAGAGCAGTCCATAAAATTGTGTTCATATCCCATTTATTTTGTTGTGTCTCCCTCAAAAGGGTGTTCCAGAGAAGACATCATATTCTTACATAAAAATATCAACTTTCCACAGGGAACGTTTTTCTCTGTGAGCAAAATCCAAAGTCACTGTAGCTTAAATTAAAAGCTAAATCTTTTTTAATTATTATAGCTCACTGAATCAGGAGTCCAAAAATAACAAGTAAATCAAAAAAGAGAAACCCAAAAGACAAAAAAAGGCCATTGAGCTCCAGTCAGTAACTGGAAAACAGCTTGAACCCTGGTTCTCAAAGAACCCCTCTGAAGATCAGTCTTGTAAAATCACACTTTCTCTCCTAACCCCTATACCAGTAGCATGTCCTGCAAGAGTATCTCTCTCTACAGAGGGGATTTGGTGGTGATATCACCTGCAGTGCCTGGCTGCTGGATGCTTTCTGGGGCTGAAAAACCTCTTTTGATGCCAGCCTTTCTCTCGCCTTTAATGGATATTCTTTGCTCTCCTTTTTTTGAGTGAGTTTCTTTTGTTCCTCCTTTTTTCCCCTCTGGTTTTGTTCCTCTTCTTTCTCCCTTAAATTGCATGGCTCTCTAGCAGCTTTTATCCTCCCTTTTCTTTTTTCTTATAGGTTTTGAGTGAAAATGAAGAATGCACCTCTTAAGGGAGCAGGTTGCATGAAAAGTTTTCATTTTGCAATTGGATTAACTCTTTGATTGTCAGATATCCCTCTATATAGCACTTGGGGTAACAGGAATCACAAATTCTGTTCACCTTTACTTATGACCATCTACTTTGGTAGACATACTTCAGAGTTTCTTCTTGCATTCACTGCAGAGCATTTTCCCAAAGACACATCCATGGAAGTATTGCACTAAGTCTTTACGTATAGATCATATATAATAAGGTTCTTTTGGCATTGCACAGGACTTCAGTAGCCTTATTGTTAGATGCTAGTCAGCTAGAAGAGTCAATAACTGAAGCTTCTTTCTGATAACAGTCCCTTGGGACTGCCCTTGTATTTACATTTGGTAAACTGTAAAACTATCACATAAGCCTCCATTCAAAGCAAACTTCTGCCAAATCAGAAACACTACCTACAGAAACACTTTGGAAGGGTTGTTCAGCGTGGACTTTCCTATCATGTGCAGTACATGAAAACTCCTGCCTCCAACGTCTGCCCAAAGGAAGGCAATCCAGATGGCAGCTTCATCAGACAGGGAAGACTTGGCGCTAACGCTGGAGGTGTAACCTAAATTCAACTCTCCCATCCATTACACTGAGTCCATGGTCACCCACGGGGCTGAGGGAATAAGCAGGGACCATAGGGGTAACTGGGTTATCAGGAATTGGTGGCAGAAGCTGCAGAAGCCCCAGGGATCGGGCCTGCACCCAACAGGACAGGGAAGGACAGTCTAGCTAAAGCTGTTCATACCACTGCCAGGGACTTATGCACTGGTAGCAGATACGCAATTTCAGACAAGTGTCTGTTCTTATCAGTGAAGAATTAGCTACTGTATACTGAGAAGCACAAGATGTCTGTATTTCTTAGCCCTGTGGGTGTATCTATTTGGCTTGTAGGCTTTTTTTTTATTTCCTGAAATACAACTCACAAAGACTGTGAGCCAACGTAACACAGAAGCACAGTTTGTAGGAATATATCTGCATACACATTATTAAGCATTAAAGGTAAAGTTAGATTAGCAATAACCCAAATAAAAAGCATTGTGATTGAATCATTAATTTTAATAATAATAATAATAACCAGTATAATAATTTTGATTCCTTTTTCCTTTCACAAAGCTTTTATTATCCAGTGTGGGAATGATCAGAGAACTAGAAAACATGACCTTCAATGAAAGATTGAACTAATTGGTTCTGTGCAATGTGTGGAAGAGAAAATGAAGCAGAGACATGGCAATAGTTTTCAAATACATGAAAAGCTGCTGCAAAGAAGGGAGCCTTCTGTTTTCTGCATCCATGATGGATAAGACAAAAACCAGGGGGCTTTATCTGAGGAAAAAAGAAGATTCTGGCAAGACATCAGGAAGCACATTGGCTCAGCTAAGGGCAGTAAAGCTGGGTAATAGCCCACTTGGGGAAGGTCCATCTGTAAGGTTCTTAAAGAAGGGGTTAGAGGAATGTCCATCAGGCAGCCTGGCCTGCTGTGGCTGGAATTTTAAGGTCCTTTCCAGATCTCTTTTCTATGATTCTACATTTTACATGTATTTATGAAGACTGTTTATGCGCAAGAAATCCTCCTGCCTCACAGCATTGTACCTACTGACAATTCTGTCATTGACAACTGTCAGAAAAAGATCAGACCAATTAGGCCTTCCAACAGCTGAGTACAATGCGGGGATTAACCATATCTTCAGTTGGGAACATCAGGGATCAAATGTGAAATCATATTTTATAAATATGATTTATTACATGCATTAGTAGAGTTCCCTTAGGATGACCCAGTGGGACCAAGAAAAAGCAGCCTCCAGTACTGTGAGGTGCAACAGAAGTTTAGCAGACTTCGGCAAGATCACACAACAGCTTTATACAAGGAGGTGGTGAGAAATGTCATGGCCAATTAAAGTACAAAGGCAATTACAAATCATGGAGGGCAGCTGGTATGTTCATATCAGCTATTTTAAACTCTCCTCAATACTTAATTTTGAAACTTTGAATTCTCCCTTGAGGGAATCAGTGTTTCTTTGCAGGCTGTCTAACTGACTTGGGTACCTAAATTATGTCCTAAGTTATATGGTATGAGAACCTCCCTGTGTAATTATCCTGGTACTTGTCTGCAATTCTGTTTAACATCCCAACTGATAAGTGATAATTTCCTGAATCCAGAAGTGATGATCCTTGAACTTCAGAGAAAGTTGCATCAGTATTTGGATTTCAGTGATGTGGCTCACATCCAGTTTCTGGTCAGATCAGCGCAGCTCCTAGCTGAAATATCTAGAGGCATGATCTCAGTATCTTGCTGTCCAGTGACGGCTTGTTGATGGGAGAACTTGCAAAAGGAATATTAACGAGTTATAAAACCTGACTCTTTCTGTCCAGCCTTGATTCACTTGCATTTGTTGTCTTTCATATGCCTGCACTATGCGATATATAAATGTAATATACAAAGAATTTGAGGTACTTGTTATATAGCATGCACCTGGTTTCTAACAGATGGGTCCACTTTGCAACTGGAAGTTGATTAGAGACCAACAAGTGGCCAACTGACGTGTGAGCAGCAGGGCTGTAAACACTTGTTTCTCAAAAGAACAGTAATCAAAGAAGGAAGAGGTGTTTCTGAGTTTCACACAGATCCTACCTAGGAAAGCCGTATGTGAGCCTGATAAGCTGGGAAATCTGGAAGCACAGTGAGCACTCGCAATGATTCATCTCTCTTTTAACATGATGGGTAATGAAATGCCATGGTGGGATAACAGTCCGAGAGCCTGTTTGGAGCAAACTCATTTGGCAGTGATTCTTCGCAGAGTCAACATCGTGTAAGAGCCCAACAGGCAGAAATCGGTGCCGGAGATGCGCATTATTATCCTCTCATCTCTTGCTGATTTACAGCACTTCACAGTCATTCTAGCAGAGACACCTACAGCTTCGATTTCTTAAATATTTAGGCAGGAAAACTTCCTAGGCAGAAATTTCCACCCCAAGGTTTAAAGCACAGCATAAGCCCGCATCTGCTCCACATGGATTCAAGAGTGAGATTCCCTCAGACAAAGGTTTTCGGAAGCTATTAAAAGAGTCCCAGCTTCTAGCCAGAAAATAAGCTGGTGTTCAAAGAACTCAAGCACATATGTTTAAGGCATTAGTACAGTCTTAAAGCTAACCCCTTTCCTGGCCTTAATTGGTGTCTTTTTTTTCTTCTTTTTTTTTTTTTTTTTTTATACCTTCATCAAGGCCTGCTCCACAGTCCTGCAAGGTAAATGGAAGACTCCTACTGATTTCAGTGGAAACTCAATGGCAGCCTCGCTTGCTTTATCTTTAGTCATGGCAACATCAGCTTTAATATCTTTAAATAGTGTGTATGCCAGTCCTTACTTTCATTTTCTACTACCTGTCTGATTGATCTACATGGGGGTTTGCTGTCATCTGTGGGTAACTGATGGACCTTGCAACAAAATTATGTTCCTTGGCATTTAACTGTCAAGAAGCTTTATTTCCCCTCTCTCACCCCCACCGTTATTTGAAGGGTTTCCAATTCAGGCAACAAAATAATTAAGGGCACGGGATTTAACATTGACTGTAACAGGACTATCCATCCAAATTTGACTTACATTACCTAATTTTGATTTTTCCCTACAGAACATTTACAAGGCCAGGCAGGTATATTATCTCTGCATACTATTCATTATCAGGCATGACTGGAACAGGTGGCAACATACTGATGTGTGTTTAATGGAACAGACGTTCAAATGCATATTTCAAAACTGGGAAAATTATTTCTTTCATGCTGCTGTCAAATCATGATCAGTGACAGTTTCAGGAATACGCTACCTTATCCCAAACTGTGTCTCTCTTGTCTAGCATCTGCCGACTGATATTTTATTTTTCAGATTTTTGCAGTCTTCGCTGCTGTCTGCTGCCCATGCTTAGAAAACTGACACAAGTAGTCTTGGTATGTAACTTACTTGTTTTGAACCAATAGCGTGTGGCCCTGCCTGGACTGAATGACCCCTGTGTGACTGTCATCTTAGCCTTCTGGACCTTTCAATCCACCAGCACTGAAAGCCAGTGGTAGTTGGACATATCTCCTATGCTCAGCCCCTGACCTGGAAGTCAGACTCGTGCCGATGTGCTTCTGCATGGCTGGGGAGACCACCTGGTTTCAGAGGCAATCCAGGTGGCTCCAGTTGTGCATAGGAGCATCGCTGTGTCATTTCTCCTAACTGGGCACCCATTCAGTTTATGTGTCTTCTGCAGTAAGTTCCCATTCTCCTAGATACATCCCTTCCTTCTCCTAGGACAAACAAGCAAAAGAATAGAGGTTTGCACAAGAAGTGGATGCTTATTAACAATGTTGACATTAGGTAGATTTGATTTTTAACCCAGGTGCTGGTGGCCCAGTTCTGTACATAATCAAAGGAAGGAGGTGTGCACCTCCAGTGTGGAACAGCAAAGTGAAACGTCCAAAGCACTCTTTGGTAGATAGTATAAATGCTCCTTCAAGATTTCCACGTTTACAGATTTTCAGATTTCACTCAGTACTAGTGATGCCCGAGTAGCTAATTCTTCAGACCCAGATCCAATTTTCAGTTACTTCAGCAGCAGCAAGCTAAAACCCTCAGAGAGTCTCATTGATTTCAGCAGAATTATTCAAGCCTGTGTAACACAAAGGCTGAACTCTATTCTTAAAACAAGCACAACTGATTTTGGTCCATTTAAATCCCGAGTCCTTCATGGGTCCGGGAGATGTAAGGAAAAAGACTCTGCAAAAGACCCCACTTTCACAGGGAGGGGTGCACAACAGCCCATACGCTTGATGGAGGTCACACTGAAGTCAATGACCACCTGTCTGCCTTGATGTTACAGCCAACTACAAGTCTCTGGATGACTTGAAACCACAAATAAGGTGTTTTATTTTATTATCACCATTTTAGAGGAATAAGAATTTTTTTATTTAGCTGACAAACAAAAATAAGTGGAATTATAAATATTACGTAAGTCAGTTTTCATAACTGCAATATTCAGAACTGTATAAATGAGCCAAGGTATTTGTAGTAACTGACCTAATTCTTGCAACCAGGGGATGTTTTTAAAAAGAAAATGTAATTAAATGTAGCCAGAAGATATATTTTTAACCAATATCAGCTATTGCAGAAATAGAGTTATCTGTGATTCTACATTTTAAGTACATCTTGATTCCTTTGAACTTTATTGTCAAATACATAGGAAGTTAAGAGATTTCCTTCAAAAATCAGGTCACAAAGTGAGTTAAAACAATACAATTTATAAAACAATATCCATTGACATAAATGCCTCACAGCTCTGAAATCTTACTGCCACAGAGTATTGGAAATACCTTTAACTATATTTAATCCTTCTTTTCACTTGTGACTTTCATTTTGCCTAATCATGCTTTTACCCTACCAGCATAGTCACTAGATGTATTCACAAGCTGGCAGGTGTCAAAAGAAATGTCAAAACACAGTACAAACTGATTTTAGTCCACCTGAAACTGATGGAGGGAGTGGGAACATGAGGCATATTCAGCAGTATGGGTGAATAAAAAAGACTGATTCTCCAGAAAAATCAGTGACTATTGGGCAAGTTGGGTAACACATGGACCAAACACTCCAAATACATAAAGGAAAAGGCTCCAAATGACAGACATTTTATTAAACTGTAATAGAGACAGTCCTTTATCTTGCTTTTGTAAGATGGAAATGTGTGAAGACGAAAGAGATTTCGCTTGGTGCAAACACTGAACGACTGTTTCATATGGGTGAGCTACTCTTTCCAGCTAGCTATCTGCCTGAAGGAGCCTAATCTGGGCAGGCCGACATCATTTAGCACCTATTTCCTCTACAGCTGTCACTCATCAAAATTTCTGATCTTTTAACTTCATGTCTAAACACAAGTGCTCTCAGCTGGTTCAAGACATTCAGCTCTCATGCTTTGGAGTAGTTTCAAAGATGGTCATAAATAGACAAAGAATCAAACAAATGCAGCAGAACACTAACCCCAAAAGAGAAATGCTTGGTCAGATCTCCCTTTTTACATGCTGCATGTCCAACATAACATCAGCTGCTTCCTTGAATTTATTCTGGATTGAGGAGTGGTACAGAAATTATGGGACCATGAGAAGTAAATAGCTAAGAAGGCTTGGAGGCATGTGAAGAAAGACTTTGTAGAATTGTTTATACAAGCTTCAACATTAATAAGGGAATTGACCTATTAATAAATGCCAATCAACTTTAATCATCCAACTGGTGACTTAAGTGATCTTGTTATTCACAGATGTGAAGTAAGAGATTCAGAGTTAATGAGCTGCTTTGAAAACTCAGAAGCAATTGAGATAAAAAACTTTTAGTTCATTCCTTTCTCTTTACAATTACTTGGCGATGCTCTGCAAACAATCAATAGTTGGATGATATCCTCAAGCTTTATGCAGACCATAGAGCCCCTCCTTAGAAAACTGCTCTATCTTTTAGACACTTGCCTTTCTGCTAGTTTTCCTGGGCTTCACTCAAGGAAAAGTCTCCATTTTGCCTGACAAAGACTGGACTGATTACCACCAATTACTGGAAATTTATTCAGCAACCAAATTATGTCAGCAAACACCAATGCAATAATTCTTTAATCCTGACTCAGTCATTTTATTCTCTAGGAAGATCATGATTATAAGCAGTTGACTGTAATCTGTGTGCTTTATTTTCTCCACAGCTAATTAATTAGCCAAGATGTCCACCTTTATTTACTACACTTCAAGCAAACTGGAGATTAGCTGGTTCCTGGGAAGCGCAGGTCTGACCCCGTGTGCTGAACATGAGGCTCACAGAGATGATTTGTTACACTGTTGGCTGCCCAAATGTTTCTGGCAGCTTGCTTACTGCAAGTTGCTTGCCTCAGTTACTTGATCACAATGTACCTGCCAGGTGATAAACTGATTTAAATGGGCATATTGCATGACTGCAATATCTACAAGAGTCTCTTCAGAAAAAAAAATGAATACATACTACACCTCTTACCCTCAAGAAAAAGACCCAGCGAGACCCAAAAGACCCAAACAGACAAAAGACAAAGTCAACCACGAAGGACTCAGCCATAAAACCCAAAAGATGAGAACTGTTGACCCACCTCAAGTTGGAAATCCCAAGGCAAGGATGTATCATACTGATTGACAGTATGCCATAAATTTCACTGCCCATATGGCACAGCAGAGAAACTTGGTGCTTGCCCTCCCTTATTTTCAAGCAAATAGGTATACATGAGCACTCAAATGGTTCTACAAACTAAGTAGCCTATAAAGCGGGGTAGGATTATGCATCAATCAAACAAACCTGGCTTATGAGCCATGGCGGGGAGAGTCTGGACTGTCTGGTCCACAAGGTCATAGGAAGCAAAAATCTTGGTCCTCCATGGCAGTGTAGTTTTCTGTGAAATATTGCCACTTAGACTCCAAGAGCCGCCTTAGGTTCACTCAGAAACACTGTCCTCACAGCGGTCACGTTTGGTGCCAGGTACAAGTGGGTGTTTTGGGGGAAGGGTAGCAGTGCGATGCTGAGTGGGGGCTGGAGCCTCCCCTCCACTGCCTTGCCTTGGCGCAAAGCCTGTGCCATCCAGCTGCAGCCTCCGTTAACCTGACCACTTCTGCCGCGCTTTGCTGCTTCCCTTACAAACACGGGCCATAAATACTAAGAGCATTCAGCTCACATAGATGAAACCTAAATTCAAAGAGCAAAGTCTGTCAGATTGGATAAAACCGGCGGCTGTCTCAGCGCATAAGCGCAGCTGTACCTTTGCGCAATTTACAGTGCATTTTGAAATGTACTCAAATAACAGTCCTTTTTCACTGCAGTCGGTTATAATGGTCATTAGAGTACTCTGCATCAGCTTTCCTTGATGCTCTCATGAGCCTGAATAGTAGCAATTTATTACCCACGGGGCCATGCAGCTTCAATCTCCAGTGGCACAATGAGTTTTCTTTCATTACTATAGAGACATTTCGGAATGTTCATTCACCTTCCCCGAAGACAGTGAGACTGCCCCGGTGAGAATTAAATACACAAATGTTCCACGCTGTATAGGATACACCTACCAACTTTTTCCCTGCTATTTTGCAGGATTTAGAAGCAGATCGAATCATCTTCTGAAACCTGACAGTTTTTGCAAGGGCTGGTCTGCACCTTCACTACACCTCTGTGTCCCCAACACACTGGGTAACCCAAAGGGCCCAGTTATGTCTTTCCTAGTGGGAGCAAAACCAAAAAGGACACTCTGGAAAGCAAACACCTCTTACATTCATTCTCTGGGTGAGACAAGGGTCACCGATGCAGCAGAGCAATTTCTTACCCAAGTGATACATGTCTTTTGATACTGTTGGTGACTCAGGCCTCCTTAAAAGCGATGCTAAATGGTCTCTGCAGTCTTGTAAGCAATACCAGCATACCGAGTGCTGGTATGACATGTTTTTCTGAGTCACGTACTTTTCTTTGAAAACTCTGCCTACATTTGGACTACTTATTTAGGACGTATACTGATTTTAGACAGAATGTAAACGAATTTATTTTTCTTTAGTCATTCTGTTCCACAATCAAAATCATATTGCTTCATTTTTAAGCCTTTCAAGCAAAATAGAGAGAATACAACATGAGGTTTACTAATAGTATTCCCAAAGATTCCCAGATTCTTCCAGCAAATCACCTGATCTATAAAAAGGGAAAATAGTATTATTAAAACATTGCAACTCATTGGCGTTTTATTCTTTAGGACTGAGAGGTGACTGAATGATGAGTCAGTCATAAAGTTTGTGGCCTGTGCTAAAATCAGACAGGGATGAGTTGCCTGTTCTAATGTACTCATTAGGGACGGAGTAAGTACATCCCGGTATGGTTGAATAGAACAATTATTTTCTGCTGCAATTGAAATGAACTATCAAATGCCAAGTGAAAATCTCTGCTCTGAGTCATCATTCATCAGGAAAGATTTGTTCACAGCACTATAAAAGTTTGCAAGATCAAACATTTATATAGGAATGCATTCTTTGTGCCAGCAATCAACACTTACAGCTCTTTCACACACCTGAATGAAGTTTGCTTTCATCTTTGCCACCAGCACTTGGAATGTACTTTATCATTATCATGACAGAAGTACGGTACTGTTGCATTCACAGGTATTCACTTCACCTTTTCTGAATTTTCCTAAGTGGCAACATTATGTAAACCCAGTGGACTTTGCAGTATGTAGCTGCTGGAACCTCTGTCAGAGCATCTTGAGGAACTCAGAAGGGAGCCCATGGGTAAGACACCATCCACAGCCAACTGCAGACCTGTTTGTGGTAGGCTAGGAAATCCCGAGGGTCCAAAAATCATCTACTTCTGTTCAAAGGTTAAAGTGACCTAGCCCAGCCAAATGGCAGTGAGGTCTCTGATCCCCACTTAAAGGTGATAGTGCAAGCCGCAGTGTGCATGGTGTCATAAAACAAAATTAAATTCACCCTACTACAGGCCACTTATTTTTAAAAGGAAAAAGAAGCAGCAAAAGCAGGCTAAAAATGAACCATTGCTCCATTGCTCAAATTTATCATAGTTCTACTGGATTCCTTCTTACTTAGCTAAAGACAAAGTTGATATTACGGCTGAACTTCTTATAAGCTTTATTAAGTAAATTACACTGAAAGATAAGAAGCTATGGAAAGTAAAATTAAAAGAAAAATGAGGGCTACATTATATTAATAGAATTAAATTGTGGGATTTAACATGTACAGTTTAAAATTTTATCAAGTACAAATAATCAAACTTGTTAATTCATCTCTTCTAGGCACAAAATGGTAATTTTACCAAAATGGTCTCCTTGCACTACCAGAACTAAAATGGTGGATCACTTTGCACCATTCCTTGCGTGTGAGGCATGCACACGTGCATGTCTCAGTCACAGGTTTGCACTCCCTTGAAACCAGCTTTGACTGAGAGCTCTTTCAATGCCTACTAAATAAACCCTATATCAAAAGCATGTACACATCCTACAGCTCTGCTACTAATGCTTTCAAGTCACATACCCAATGGCTGTTTCGGGTAAAACTCGAGAGCCTTCTAGTTCACTCTGGCCCACAACTGCAGTGGCTGCTCTGTAACCCCCACATCTTGGCACCTCGTGGTCACCCCATTAGCCCTGACGCTCTCCGGTGAGCCTGCTGGGACACTTCGCCTCCAGCTCTTGCACTGTCCTGTGAGACTTTGTCTTGCTACCTCAGGCTTTTTGTGGATTTCCCACTGTACCGTGACCACCTTTTTGCACGCTTTGCTTTGCTCTGGCTCAAACGCTGCCTCGGTGCCTGGCTCACACTCGCTTTTGCAGCGCCCTCGTACCTGCCCCAGAACTTTCCTTTACTATGAAAGACTCGGTGGCTGGGCACTGCTTTGTCACTACAAATCTTCATTTAGTAAACAGTCTGGGGGGCAAGACTTCAGTCCGTTCCCCACAGCTGTGGGTCTCCCACTCAGCACACTGGGGTGCTCTCCCCAAGGAGCTCTCTCTGCTCTGCTCTAACATGGTGAAACGAGGGAGAGCAGAAGGGGGAGAAGGAAAGCATCAGGTTTCCCTCCTTGTTTTATAATGAATTTCCTGAGTCCCTCTCTCTCATTCTAGTAAGGCCTAATTCTCATCAGAAAAGTCTGAATCCTTGAAATTATCCTGGATTTTAAAGAAGACAGTGAATAAATAAATCCATAAAGATGGTAAAGGTGCAAAGGAAGTTTCATGAATTTGGGGGAGAAAATGAAGGGGACTAAGGAAGCACTTGTCCCCAAACCACTTTCCTGTCCTGCTTACTCCTCTGGTCGCCGTTTGCGGGCATGAGAATCACGCACGGCTTAAAACGGTCCCTAACCCTTATGTAACGCCAGGCTTTCTGGTTGAACACTAGCGCTGTGGCTGGGACTGGCGATTAATACGGAATGAACCAACACCCGAGACATTCGAAGGAAAGCCGCTCTCCCCAGCTTCACAGCAACCCCGACCGGACTCGGGGCAGCCAGGCGGTGCCAAAAGCCAAAAGAATTCCCGTGCGGTTCCCCCTTCGCCTCGCTGCAGGGCAGCGCAGTGCACTGGGAGCAGCTCCTCCCCCCCCCCCCCAAAAAAAAAAAAAAAAAAACAAAAAAAAAAAACAAAAAAAAACACCAAACCTGAAGCTGCCGCAGCCCATTCGCGAGGCAACGTTTCCATCTGCTGGGCTCGGCCGGGAACGCAGCGGCGCCGGCCGCAGCCCGACGGCTGTGCCGGGGGGGGGGGGCGGTTGGGAGGGCAGCGAGCCCCCCGCCAGCAGCCCCGGTCCCTCTCCGTGACCCCGGACCCCGCCGGCCCCCTCCCACGGCCACGCTAGTGGGGGGCACGGAGCCCCGGGCGCCCCTTGCTGGGAGCGAGAGCCGGCCTCGGGGGGCGGGCAGCGGTGGCGGCGGGGTGGTCACCCCTCCTGGGGGCGTCCCTGATAGGGAAGAGAGCCAAGTGTCCCCCCACTTTGGTCCTTACCCCCCAAAGGGGCTGTCACCCTCACCCCTGCCCAGCTACACTCTTTTTTTTTTTTTTTTTTTTTTTTTTTTTTTTTCTAATGAGCAAAGAAAATCCTAGACCAACACCTTCATTAAATTCCAATGACAAAAGCGATCTGCTCACTGCTTTGTCCATCCCTAGGACCTTGGCTGCGACTACAAGGGGTCACAAGTGGCCGGGGACAGCCGGTGCCCAAACCCTCCCGCCCAGCCGCGGGGACACTGCCGGCCCGCTCGGCAGAGACGTGCCCGAGAGGTGCCCAGTGGCAGGGAGGAGTTCCAAACCACCTTGCAGCACACCAAGCCTTCCCA